CACGCGCGCACGCGCACACGCGCGCACGCGCACACGCGCACACGTGCACACGCGCACACGCGCACACGCACCCGCACACGCACCCGCACACGCACCCGCACACGCACCCGCACACGCACACGCACACGCACGCGCGCGCACGCGCACGCGCAAGCGCACGCGCAAGCGCACACGCAATCACCCGCACACGCACCCGCGCACGCACTCGCACACGCACACGCACACTTACACACACGCGCATTTACACATTTACACACAATTTTTCTCACTTCTGTATGTATGTAGTTTATGTATGTCTTGTATTGTGTTGTATTGCATTTCTTTGTATTGTATTGTATTGTATTGCCTTGTATCTTGGTGTAATGCAATGTAACGTCATGTAATGTAATGTATTGTAATATAATGTAATGCAATGTGATATAATGTGTTGTATGTATGTTATGCTATGCTATGCTATGTTATGAATGAATGTATGTATGTATGTATGTATGTATGTATGTATGTGTGTGTATGTATGTATGTATGTATGTATGTGTGTAATGTGTGTAATGTATGTCATGATTGAAATTGATGTAATGTATGCATTCTATGTCGTGCGTGTAATGAAATGTAATGTGATGAAACACGATGCAATGCAATGTAATACAATGTAATGTAATGTAACGCAATGCAATGTAATGTAATGTAATGTAAGGTATGTGTCTTTGTTTGTGTATGTATGTATGATTTGCAATGTACTGTGCTGTAATAAAATGTAATATTGCACAACACAATGTAATGTATGTATGTTAATGAAATGTAATGTAACGTAGTGTAGTATAACATAACATAATGTCATGTGTGTATGTTTCTTTGTTTGAATGTAACGAAATGTAATGTGACCAGGCCACCCGGCCACAGCCACGGCCAAGGCCACCGGACACGGCCGCCCGGCCAGGGCCACAGACACGGACACGGCCACGGCCACGGCCGCCCGGACACGGCCGCCCGGCTACAGCCACGGCCACAGCCACAGCCACACACAAAAAAAACATTCCCCATCCAGAGTGGTTGTCCTTTTGGTTTCCCTTTAAAAGCCACCAAGAAAGGGTACCGCCAAAAAAGACAAACCCCTCTATACCCCCCCCCCCCCCCGGGAATTTGCACGCACGTCACATCGATGGCCAGGCTCTGAGCCTGGGGATTCCCTTAGCCGTGGTGCCCATGTTCGGCGACCAGCCGATCAACGCGGAGAAGGTGGCCAACATCGGCGCTGCGGTGTCCTTCTGTGCCCCTTGGGCCAAGTGGGAGGGTCTCCTCGCCAGTTCAGATGTTACACGGCGATGATGGAAGCTCCCCTCCCGGCTGCGAATGGGTCACCAAGTCGAAGGGGCCTTGGGAGCTTCCATGTGGAGGGTGGATCCACTGGATCCGTTCAGGAGCCGCTGAAGACGCTGACGCCCGAGAGCCTGCGGAGGGCGGTGCGGCAGCTGCTGCTTGGCCCGCGTGCTGGGTGCTTTTGGGTTCGGTTCCCTCTTTTGGGAACCGCGTGGCAATCGCTTTGGGAACCTGGCTTGGGGCTTTGTACTTTTTGGGATTGCCCATGCGCGGCAAGCAAACCGTTTGTGTTTGGTCTTAAACTTGGTTGGTTTCAAAGAGACCCCACCCATTTTCTTAAGGGAACCCCTGCTCGGAAGAGGTAAACCAAAAGTTGACCCCAACCAGCTTCGGCGATGGCAAAAGGGAGCCTCGTATCCCTTCAAGCCCTCAGACTGGCAGAGCTTTGACAGTCGCATCGGACATCGACGGAAACGCCTTTGAGCTGCTGTGAGCAAGCAGCTGTTTAATGTTAACCCAGGATCTAAGTAGAACCCCGTCCCATTAGGTGGAAACCCCTCCAAAAGTGGAAGAATAATCCAACCACTAAAAGGAATTGGACACCCCCCCGATCAAAATCAACCAGGGGTTCTACTTAGATCCGGGGTTTATATTAACTTTGACTTGGATGGTTCTGAATTTGCTTGTTGGTTTCGAATCCAGAAGCAGCACCAGGAGAAAGATCAGGAGTCAAAGTTGGAAAGCTGTTGGAGTCTGTCAACTTGGGACTTGGCCCGAGTTGGGACTGTCTCGCAAAGGGTCTGACGGCCGTGGAGCATGCTAGCAAAGACGTGACCGAGAATATTTTTGTGGGCTTTCGAAAGGAGTCATGTTTTCTTGATTTGTGGTGTCCAAAGCGAAGAAATCCGGTCTTACGGACCTGCACCATACTCGCAATTGAACATGGGCCCGCACCGAGCTGAGAGAACGGAACGGGACCAAGGCGGCCGAGGTTTGTCTATGGTGCTAGTTCCATCTACACAGAGGTGATGCCTAGGAACAAGAGATGATTACCTACTGTGTTATTCCTACATAGAGATGATTGCACATCTTTGAGAACTATGTGCCATGTGCAGTTCCTAGTAAAAGACCGATGAATCATTACAGCTCGAACATATGACAGGCGAGCATGACTTTAGGAACTGGAACACCCGTCCCCAAGGTGTTTGGGGAGCAACTGTCGAGTGACATTTGAACGGCCCGGTGCCACGGCGTGCCATGCAGGCGCCCAGGTGAAACAATGCGTAGGGTGCCTTGGGGCTTTCCCCAAGGGCGTGCCGTTTTCAGGCGCCCGCAACATGCAACTCGCGCCAACAAGTTGATTTCTGCTACAGGTTGCATTCGTACGTGAGCCTACTCGGTCCCCACTTCCATCCCCACGTCATGTCCAGGTTTTCGAGATGTCAGTATCTTGGCATCTGAGGCTCGAAGAGGGCAGCCCTTTCCGCTCAGCAGCCCAAGGCTTGCAGCGGCAGATGGCAAGCGCGCCGGGAGTGAAGGGGGCGGTGGACATCATATTGGATGTCGGTAAAGGGGCGCGGCCCAGCCCCAGGGCCTGTCTCTCGACTGGTCTGGGCGGTGCATGACGAGCTTTACGAATCCGACGGATTCGCATTTCTTGGCGCCGTTTTTGGGCACTCCTTTGGACTTCACCATGGTGAGCGGAGCCCACATGCTGGGCTGTTCAGAGGCCCCAGGCGCAGTTGGCTGCACGGTACCAACCCGCAGCTTAATTAACGGTTCAGCCAATCGTGTACCGTCAGAATTCAAGAGCTCACGGGAGACAGAAGGATCTCACTCAGCTCTTGCCTTAGCTTGCCTCAAATTTGGCCTCAAATCCGCTGTTGGTGCCGCTTGGGATCGCCAATATCGCCGTAAACATTGAAGAACAGTCGTCATGATTCAGGAAATATGTTGCTCTGAACAAAAAAGGGCACCTGAGTTTATCACATGCAAAACGTCTTCAGATGCCATGTCACAATGTGAACTCTTTTCTATGCAGCTGTTTTACCTCACGCAGTCAGCTTTTGGAAAAGTCAACCCTGATCTGGCAGGCTATGGCTTGAAGCTGGTTTGATGTGAACCCCTTCGGCGGATTTAGATCGGGCAGGAAATGTGGTCTGGGGTTATCTTGGTCACTCTCTTTTTCTTGGACACCTGGGAGCACTTCCAGGTGTCGCAGGCTTTGTGGGGCTGAGACCAAGAAGTCCCAGGGATCATGGAAGCTGCCAACTTGAAGAGCGACAGTTGGCCCAGTCAGCCGAAGACGGACGGAACACTCACGGAGGGGTCACAACACATAAGTCGATTGTTCAAACACACAAGTAGTTGACAACACAGAACACATCAGATACGGACGGCCCACAATGGGAAACCGTTGATTTGCAAGTTGGAACTGCTTGGACAAGAATCCGAACAAGAGGCAAGGCATCGCTTTTCACTTGACATTTTCTGCAGAACAAATACATCAGAAGAGCACCCTCAGCAAGCAGTTGGAAGTCAAGAGGACGAACAGTGCAGGCTGCAGAACCCCCATCTTGGAATCCACAAACTGTCTATAGTGAGTCAGGCCCCCCAAACAGACATGTTGTCTTCACTTGGGCGACCCCGTCAACCAAAAGACGCAGATGGGCTGCTTGAATTCATGTCTTGCCTGCCCGACAAAAGGTGTATAATATGTATATATATATTATACGCATACACATATTCGTGTGTGTGTGTGTCAAAACTCGGACTCCAGATCCGTTCCCCCAAAGACTTCCAAGCCGCCAAACCAGGTCTCGCCTGAACCGCCGCCGACGAAAAAGCCCGCCAAGGCCGAGCGAAGCCGAGCGTGACGTATCCGCCTTAGCCTTTGAACGAGGTCCACAGATTTTTCCACCCGAAAACCCGGGGATCAAACCACAAGGGCTTCTTTCTCACCCGCGTTCTCGTGGCAGATTGGGAGCTCTTGAGTTCGGAAGGCCATGCTAAGCGTAACGTACACTCAGGCTGAGAGGGCTGAGAAGTCGTAACTTTGTTTGTTTGTGAGCCCATGCACTCCAATCCTATGCTGAAACATCTATCTGCAACTCGATGCCCTTGTGGGTTTCCTAATTTCCTGGACTTGACGTTCGGTCGTTCGCAAAGCTCAGACTGAATGACTTTGAAGGTTATATAGCTCGCCTGGCATGTGCTTCATGCCCGCACAGCTCCTGTTCTGAGGCTGGGATGTCACAATGAGCCCTTGACCCCTTGATGTGGCATGTCAGCACACTCCATTTCCCCGTTGGCCGGGGGGGGAGGGCGAAGGGAACACCGCGTCAACGTGAATACAGGCGGCACTTGCAAGGAGATCAACACGGCCGTGCTGCTTGCAGCCGCTTAGCTCTTGCGGCGTAGGGCACATTTTTGAGCGATGGCTGCGCGGGCGGAGGACCGGCCCTCAAACTGAGGCCCAAGAAAACATGTCGTGATGTCCGAGGCCAGGCAAACTGGACGGCTGTTGACCATGGGTTTTAAATGGTTGGAAGATCCTCAAAATGGTTGGCGGACTCTCCCCCATTTGTGTCTTCGATGTTTAAGGGGTCCCCTTTCCAATGAACCATGCCCACAGGATCAGAAGCAGGGCAATGTGGTGCTCTATGCTGCCCAGTATGACCCAGCGGGCTCTCTTTTTTTCGCGCGTCAGACAATGAGTCATGGCAAATCAATGGCTCTTGACAACTTGAGCGCGTCAGACAGTCATGGGGAAATCAATGAGAACCGGTGCAAATTTTCAAATCAATGAGCATCTCTGTTGAACCGGTGCTTAAATCAATGAGAAAAGATCCGTTGAACACGGCGTGGATTGGGTATTGCGTGGGATATTGGAAGTTCGGATGTCTAGGCAAGATTCGATCTTGGAAAGGCACCGAGTTTGGTTCATTTCAGGTTTCGAGTTTGGCTTCTTTTGAGAACACACCGAGGTTTGGGATACACGATATGTTTTGAAGCAGAAGCAACTGGTGCAATTAATCCTCCTTATGGTTGGGAAAAGCTGCCACATGAGACCTTACTCCATTTGGAGTTGGGGAAAAAACAGCATACATGAGACCATGGCCAAATTTGGAGTGAAGTCAACTAATTTGGACACGACTAATATGCACATCCCAGCTGCGGGGCGGGATCCCGACACGGCCCCGGCCTCAGGTTGTGGTCGGGGTCTACCTGATATTGCTTCTGGTCGTGGCCAAGATCGCGCACTCCAGAAAGAAAGCGGCCACTGCGAGCGCCGGTGAGGCCCAACGACTCGAAAAAGACCTCGGATCCCAACTCCCGTCCCTGCGATTGGACCGATTGGACCGATTGGACCGTTCCGGTTTCTTGTATTTTTCCGGCCCACGGTGCGTTCAACATGAGAATGCGACGGAACGGTTCAAGGGTTTTCGGTTGGCTCGCTCCAGGAACCGGTTCGCGGGCGGTTCCAAGGACCCACAATTGGGATGGCCTCGGTATCCTCGGTCGACAAGTGATGTCCGAGGAGCCGAAAGCTTTAGCCGCTCCCAATGTGCACCCCCACAAATTTTCGTTGGAACATGAACTTCCAGGGGCCTCCAGTCAGGTTTTTCATGTTAGCAGGACGCATGTGTTGTCTATGCAGCTTTTTGCAGGTGCAGGCTCACTTCGGGGGCTCATTTGGAGCGGCCACATTGCTCCTGACGACGTTCTCAACTCTCTACTCTGGCGCAGACCTCAGAATGGCGAATACAACAGATGCACTCGACTGATGTTTTCTTCGGCCGAAGGGTCCAACTGTCGACACCAGATCTCTTTGTTGGCTTTCTGTTGGGAATCCCATTTAACGGTGTTTTGTGGCATGAGAGTGGCATGAGATGAGGTTTTACAGTCACCGGCATTCCCGACGAAGCATTTGACAAGGGCTTCGTATCTTTGAGATGGGTCGGAGCGACTTTGGTCATCGTGGCAGCCATGCTGCTGCTCTATCCCAGGCTGGGTCGGCATTTTGGGCCAGTTTTTCGGTTTTTTGGCACCAGGTTCCATTGGGCGTGTCTTTTTTCGATAACCCCTTTTCGGGGTTGGTTGAAAGGCAAACCACAGGGAACACATTTTTTGGGGGTGGATCCCCTAAAAAAGAGACACCCAATTTCCCCCAGCCTAACTCAGGGATGGGAGATTATCTGATCAACCATCTTCCCGCGCGTTTTTTTTGCCAGGCTTCGACGGTTGGCTGTGACCAGAGAGTACAAGAGCCCCATCGACTTCGTCTCAGACAGATATGGCACCATCCGCCTTCGCCTGCTCTGTGCTGCCTGCTCGGTTGTTCCCATGATTCTAGGCTATGAGTTTGTCTTGGCCGAGCCTCAACAAGGGGTGGTTTCCCTCGAACACCAGCCTCATGACTCATCAAGATATAGTGGGAAAGACTGGCCCCGCCCCAAAAGCCCCCTGCTTTTGAATCGTCGCTTTTGCGACTTGACTGGGGCAAGTCTGTAGGCTGACTCACGGCCTTGGTTTCAGGATCACCTACATCACTGCGCAGATGCTCTCCTTTACCGCGATGGTGCAGGGCATGACATTCCAGGCGGTGATCCCCAAGTGGGCCTGCATCCTTTTCTTCATAGTCCTGATGCTGAGTCTGGAAGTGCTGGGCGGCATGAACAGCGTGGTACTCACTGACGTGGTGCAGAGCACCGTGATGATCCTCTCCTTTCTGGCTGTGCCGTTCTTCCTGGCCAACGAGTATGGCTCCCTGCCTGACATGGGGCCTGCCGATTGCCCGTTTCTGATGAGCGTGTCCCACGCGACGGACAGCTTCTCTGCCCCCGAGCAGTGCACGGGAATGGGATCTGGGTGTGTGGCTGCTGGCTGCATCGCAGCAGTGAGGCCGGAGTTCTATAAGTTCCCAAGTAGGTCGACGCTGTGCGACGTGATCTTCTTTCTCATCAACATGCTTGCAGCCAGGGCCCTAAACTTCAGCATTCCGAACTCCCAGATCGGAAGTCTGATTCTTCTTGTTCGAACTCCCATGGCTTCGAATTCCCATAGGCTTCGAATTCCCGTCACCTCGCAAAACCAGTTCCTCGACCAAAAAGCATCAGGCGCCACTGCAGCCGCAGATGGTGCAGCGGTGCTACATGGCCTCCAGCGACGCCAGCTTGCGCCTGGTGATGGCCGCGATGCTCGTGGCGCCCTTCCTTTCACAGCCGCCAGGAGGGACCTGGGGGTCCGGTTTCTTTTGAGTTTGTGGACGGTGTCCGGTTTTTTGTAGGGGATTTTGTGGATGATGTCCTGAAAAAGCCCAATTGATCCAATTACAACTAGCTCGCAAAAAAAAAAAAAAAACAACAATCATGTAGACTGTGCTTCAGGCAGCCATGCGAGCGGAAAACCAATTTCTCGTTGAACGAGCGGAGGCATCATCATGGGCCTCACCAAGAGTGCCTACGACCCTGCTTGGCCCTTGGTGGACAGGCAGGCGTCGGCCTTTTCAGCGGTGACTGGGCAACTGAAGATGGCCGGACCGATCCAATACTTTCTCGTGTCTTGGCTCTTCTTTGGCCGAAAAGAATCTTTGAGTTGTCCGATCAAGACCATTTTCCAAGATTATGTGATCTTTTTTTTTGATTGACTGGTATCCCCTTCCCCGCTTACCGACAAGTTAGAAGCTTTTCCAAAGAGCGCAACTCAGGTGTCTGTCATGACATGCTCAACCCTGGCGGCGATCATGTCAACTGCAGATTCCGCACTGATGGGAGCTTCAAGTGTGGTCTCAATGGATGTCATCAAGGGGACGCTTTGCAAATCATTATCAACCAAGAATGTGGTGAGGGCTGGAGAACTGACCTCCTTCATTGTCTGCGCTCTCTCTTTCGCTCTTGCCATGCTGTTGAGCAGCGACCAAATGGCCAAGATCTTTGTTTTCCAGAATGGCATGCTCATGCAGATGCTCCCGGCCTTCGGTTTTGGGCTCTATTTGAACATTGCAGAGCGTGCAGTCACTGGAGGAATTGCTGCTGGTTTTGCCTCCCTCGTGATTTTGTTCGTTGCCGGCAATCCGCTTGATGATTATGTCCCTTCTATCAATGTCTCGGTATTCTTCAACTTCCTGTTTGTGGCACTGGTACAAGTGTTTGTACCGGGTATCACCAAAGGACAGCTAACAGTCGAAAGAATTCAAAAGACTATGTCAAGCTCGCGAGAGCCTAGCATTGCCCTGCCGGCCTTGATGATCGGGCTTGCTCTGGTTTCAGCCCCTTGGTGTCTTGGCTGCTATTTGGTATCTTGAACCTTCAACTGAGGAGAAGCGAGTGTGTTTTCCAACATTTGGTAAAAGTTAAGTTGTTTGGCCCAGGGAAAATCGCCAAACAGGTACGGGAGAGCAGGAGAGCAGGAGCCCATCATCTTGGGGTCGCCTCGTTGGGGCATCATCCAAATGCTGTTCTTCGTGGCGATCTTTGGTCTCGGCGTCGTGGCGTGTGTGCGTTGGAGGGTCCCCAGTGATTCGTGTGACCTGGATGTGCACGGCGTGGGGCCCAAAGAGGAGCCCGTCGCACCCGAGAGGGACAAGGTGTAAGAGAAATTCCCTTTGGCTATGTTTAATTGGGATCCTGGATGGTGGACACAAAGTCTCCATGGATGTCCAAGGGTCCCCAATTAAGTCAAATAAATATCCGTTTGCAAAAATAGAATTCTGCCCGGCTGAATTTCCGGACAGATGGAAGTCTCGTCGACTCTCAAGACTTTTTCAGAGCAAGCGCGCAGAGCGTATACTGTTGTGTCAATTGTCTTGGGTTGATGCGGCAAATTCGCTGCCCCATAGGTGGGCAAAGTGGCGTGACCTTGTTCCCAACAAATCCCAACGCAAGCCACCAGAGCGCAGGGCCGGATAAGATCTGGGGCCATTGACCATCAAAACTAATCAAACTTCAAACGGCTCTCCGGCCCTGCATTCACAGCCCCCCCTGTTTCAGGGCTGGATGAATGTGGCTCTATGGCTGAGGATTTTGTAGCATGGCTGACACAGGTTTGCCACTTTAAGTGCTGGAGCCCCGAAACACGGCCGGCGCAGTGCCGGCTGTGTTTAGCCCCGGCCGTGTTTCAGGGGTCCCCTGCCAAGGGACCGCCAAAGTTGCCATTTGCCACTTCAAGGTGACTCCAAGAACTCATGTTGGCATTTGCACCATTTGCTAGTTCGCGCATTCCCAACAGTTAATCAGCCCTTGGTCAGCATCATAGGTTCACGATCTTGAAGGCAGACGGGAGCGACAAAGAGCTCTGGAATGCGGTATAAAATCATGTGTTTGCCAGATCTTGCACGAGTGTCGTTTTCAGGCTTTCTGCCATAATGCAGGTGTGTCTCCACAGACACATGTGCTTACAACCACGATTTGTCTAGAAGTCTTGCTTGCTGTCAAGGCATTTACCGAGGTTGACTTCTTACACACATACATACATACATACATACATACATACATGCATGCATGCATACATACATACATACATACATACATACATACATACATACATACATACATACATACATACATACATACATACATACATACATACATACATATACATACATACATACATACATACATACATACATACATACATACATACATACATACATTACATACATACATACATACATACATACATACATACATACATACATACATACATACATACATACATACATACATACATACATACATACATACATACATACATACATACATACATACATACATACATACATACATACATACATACATACATACATACATACATACATACATACATACATGCACACATACACACATACACTCACTACATACAAACGTTTTATCAATACGTGGCAGTAGCCATTCTGTTGTTGTTCTGTTTTTGAAACGTGGCAGCACCCATTTTTTGGGAAGCGCCTTTCGGTGTAACACACGTTACTGTTCTTTCAAGACGTGGTAGTAGCAATTGTGCTGTTTCTTTTTCGAAACGCGGCAGCACCCATCGTTTGGAAAGCGCCTTTCGGCTTAAAATGCGTGTGTTCCTTTTCCAGACGTGGCAGCACCCATTTTTTGGGAAGCGCCTTTCGGTTTAACTCATGTCAGTGTTTTTTCAATACGTGGTAGCAACAATTGTTTTTTCGACATGTGGCAGCACCCATCTTTTGGGAAGCGCCTTTCGGCCTAAAATACGTGTTTCCTGTTTCCAGACGTGGCAGCACCAATTTTGATACATATTTGACATAACATAACACAACACTACATAACTACATGCACAATTTTTGTGCTCGACATACATACATACATACATACATACATACATACATACATACATACATACATACATACATACATACATACATACATACATACATACATACATACACACTTACAGACATACATACATACACACATACACACATTCATACACACTCACAGACATACATACATACACACATACACACATTCATACACACATACAGACATACATACATATTTGACCTCACATAACATAACCTGACACACCTACATGAGCAATCACTTACATTACATGCATACATACCTAGAAACATATATATATATAAGATGTACACAACAAATACATATCCATATGCATATACATATACATACACACACAAACATACACAGATATATACATACAAACATACATACATACATACATACAGACAGACAGACAGACAGACAGACAGACAGACAGACAGACAGACAGACAGACAGACAGACAGACAGACAGACATACATGCATACATACATACATACATACATACATACACACATACACACATACATACATACATACATACATACACACATGCACACATACATACATACATACACTACATACAAACGTTTTATCAATACGTGGCAGTAGCCATTCTGTTGTCCTTCTTTTCTTGAAACGTGGCAGCACCCATGTTTTGGGAGGCGCCTCTCGGTCTAACACATGTTTTTATTTGCAATACGTGGCAGCACCTATCTTTGGGGAAGCGCCTTTCGGCTTAAAACACGTGTTTTCTTTTTCTGAAACGTCGCAGCACCCATTTTTTGGGAAGCGCCTTTTGGCTTAACACACGTGACTGTTTTTTCAAGACATGGTAGTAGCAAGTCTGTTGTGTTTTTTTTTTGAAACGTGGTAGCGCCCATCTTTTCGGAAAAGCCTTTCGGCTTAAAATGCGTGTTGTCTTTTCGAGACGTGGCAGCACTCATTTTTGGGAAGCACCTTTCGGTTTAACGCATGTTAGTGTTTCTTCAATACGCGGTAGTAGCAATTGTGTTGTTGTTTTTTCTCCAGACGTGGCAGCACCCATTCTTGGGAAGCGCCTTTCGGCCTAATATACGTGGTTTCTTTTTCCAGACATGGCAGCACCCGTTTTTGGGAAGCGCCTTTCGGTTCAACACACGTTAATGTTTTTTAGCATGTGGTAGTAGCAATTGTGTTGTTGCTTTTTTCGACATGTGGCAGCACCCATCGTTTGGAAAGCGCCTTTCGGCCTAAAATACGTGGTTTCTTTTGCCAGACGTTGCAGCGCAAAAATTTTTGGGAAGCGCCTGTGGGTTTAACACATGTTAGTGTTTTTCAAGACGCGGTAGTAGCAGTTGTGTTGGTTTTTTTTTTTTTTTTTTTTTTTTTTTTTTTTTTTTTACATGTAGCAGCACACATCTTTCGGGAAGCGCCTGTCGGCCTAAAATACGCTGTTTCGTTCTCCAGACGTGGCAGCGTTCATTTTTTGGGAAGCGCGTTTCGGTTTAACACATGTGACTGTTTTTTTCAATATGTGGTAGCAGTATTTGTGTTGATAGCATACATACACACACACAAGTATATACATACGTGATAATCATATCCTCGCATCTGTTGCATTTCAAATCGGCTGATAATCATCATGACGCATCCTCAACATCACCAGCAGTCATCGTGATAATCATGTCCACACAACTTTTGCATCTCAAGTCGCATGATAATCATCATGACGCATCCTCAGCATCAGCAGGAGTCATCATGATAATCATGTCCAGGCATCTTTTGTGACGCATCCTCAGCATCACGAGCAGTCATCATGATACGACTCATCCTCTGCATCACCAATGCTCTCTAACGTCCCTTTTGAAATGTATATAAGAATAAGAAAGATTTCTATCATATCAAAGGATGATGATGATGATGATGATGATGATGATGATGATGATGATGATGATGATGATTCCACTACATACAAACATTTTGTCAATACGTGGCACTAGCCATAGTGTTGTTGTATTTTCTTGAAACGTGGCAGCGCCTATGTTTCGGGAAGCGCCTTTCAGTCTAACATACGTTTTTTGTTTCTATATGTGGCAGTAGCAATTGTGCATTTTTCGACACATGGCAGCACCCATATTTTGGGAAGCGCCTTTCGGCTCAAAATACGCATTTGCTTTTTCGAGACGTGGCAGCACCTATTTTTTGGGAAGCGCCTTTGGTTTAACACACGCAATATGTGGTAGCAATATCTGTGTTCATAACATACATACATACATACACACATACATACACACATACAGACATACATACACACAGACATACACGCATATTTAACCTCACATAACATAACATTACGTACCTACACGCGCAATCACTTACATTACATGCACGCACGCACGCATACATACATACATACATACATACATACATACATACATACATACATACATACATACATACATACATACATACATACATACATACATACACACTTACAGACATACATACATACACTCACACACATACACACATTCATACACACTTACAGACATACATACATACACACATACACACATTCATACACACATACATTTCATGACGTGACATGACATTGCATTACACTATATCGCATTATTTTACACACATACATACATACATACATACATACATACATACATACATACATTCGGCTTGAAATACGTATGCTACATACGAACGTTGTTTTAAATATGTGCTGCGCGGTTGTCCTGGACGAGTTTGCGGCTGGACGCACGGCGTCCCTGATGCCGAGCCCAGCAGTCAATTCGGAGAGGTCCGCTTCTGCACGAAGCTGCCTGCCGCAGAGTATGTGAGGTTCAAGACAAAGCGAAAGCGGCGTGTGCGAGGCATCGGGAACGATTGTGTCCTCCCAGTGGCGCCGGTTCGCAGCGTTTGGCACCTGGACCATCGCCGGAAATACCCGAAGCTGAGGGTGTCGCGGAGACAGCTTCCACTGTCTCCGTATTTCGCGATCACTGCTCACGCAGCGCAGGGCCTGACCATACGAGAAGGCGCCGTGGCAGACATCGCGATTCGACCAGGAGACGGCCCTTTGACTTGTGACGTAGCCGTGACGCGCGTGGAAGGTCGAGAACGCCTGCTGATATTTCGCCCCTTTGCCTTGGGGCCTTTCCAGCGCGGGGAAGACGTAGGGCGAAACCTGTTGCTCCGAGAAGAGATAGACTGGGAGAAGATCCGACGAGAATACGTCATCGAGAAGCCGTGCAGCGAGTGCCGGGAACAGAAGGAGCCACGTGGTTACACGGCTGGTCAGTGGAAACGCGATGACGCAAGCCGTGTTTGCAAGGAATGCGTAGGCAGGCATGAGCAGAGTGGTCATCCGTGGCAGTGTTGTATGTGCAAGTGCTGGCAGCCCACCGCCGCCTTCCGAGGAAAATGTGGAGCAGCGCTGTTACGCGTGTGTCTGAACTGCAA